TCGAAGGTGGTTGTGAGAAAATACACGACTGTAGACGAAGACGCCAGCAACTGCAACCAGCCGGACGCGGAAAAGCAAACAATTTACGGACCGCAATTCATGAATGTTTCCAACTGCAGTTTCGGACCTGAAGCCATGAGCGATAATGAAAACGTGTCATCGAAAGTGTCTCCTTGCAACGAAGTTGAATACACAGTGAAAGATTTGAAGCCTGGATTCTGTTACGAAGGCACCGTGGTGGCAATTGGAGGAACGGACGACGCGAGAAGCCCCGAGGCCAAAGCGTTCTGCTATTTGAGCAGACTCAAATCTGCAGGTGAAGTACAGTAGAATAATCCGCACGCGTGATTCATCGGATAAACACAAAAAAAATTCCTGTGGGGGAAAAAAATCGTTCGCAATTTTTCCCGACATTTCGATGAATATTCTGCAAGGGCAACCTTGAGCTGTCGTCATCCCTCCGTTTCTCGTCTTATCGAGGTTTTCTTTCCTATAGAGGATTCTTTTCAGTGAACAATTATTTTTAGTCAGTGTTTGAAGAAGAAAAAAAAATTATTCTTTGCAGACAGTGCTTCAAGCGTTGGAACATTGATCGGAGGAATCATCGGAGGCCTTGTTGGTTTAGCATCATTAGCAGCAGTTGGAATATTCGTTTGGCGTCGGATAGCTGCTCCGTGAGTACATTTAAACACGCTAAAAAAACTTTTTCTTTCCGTAAAAGCATGATCTGTCATCTTCTCCTCCATGCCTGATTACATATTTTGAATGGATAGGACGTGATTTTATCATCGAACACTGGCTTCATTCTATCTTTCACTGTAGAAACTGTCTCTCAGTGACGCGCTTATAGAAACATTTGGTTTTTTGAACACCTATAATACGTGGTCATTTTTTAACTCCGTAAAAGTTCTCCTCGAAAACAACAGTCCCTGTTAAGAAAGAACTGATGCTGAATTTAAAGTAAGGAAAATGTTATAAGATCTTCAAGCGACAGAATCATAAGGCAGAAACTTATAATTTTTGAAGATATGACTCTGGAAGCTAAAAGGAAGTTCACTGAATAGAACCACGCCATCATTTTGCGTGAGTCCATCTTAGATGTTTTGCAGTTATTTTCTAGACCGTCAGAATGGCAAACTATGCAATTCCTAATTTTATTTTTGCACAAAACCATGGAAAGCATAGGATCTGCAGAATTGACAATGCAATGCTGTTTCCTACCCATGAGCTTGTTTCAACGCCGTCAGATAATTTACAGTATGGCATTTTGCGCCTCTAGTGTTTTCTATGTACATCAGCCTGGTTTTCCTTGCAGTTCTAAAATGTAGATAAATGTGATTTGTATTACTAATGCTTATTCCTCGAAATATTCCGTATCCTCGTCAGGGTTGTTCACTTTATTGACGTTCGAAGTGGAATTCTGGAGAAAATTTAATGGGTAAATGCGAGGATTTAATTTCATTAGGTTGCTTGAAATTAAAAGTATTCGTTTT